TGTTTGCCCTGGCTGCCCATGAATATCCCGCGACACACAACACAATCACACACTCGATCGATCAACAGGTGAAAGATACGATTCGACGACAGACCGGCGGCCGGCGAAATTACAGCAATTAGCCCGTCTTAAAGATTCGATTGCGTCTGTCAACACATGATTTTATTAAGCAACCAAAGCTCTTCGCCTTCACAGACACATTTGAATGGTTGTGGGCCCCCCAAGGAAGGTTGTGGCTCAATAACAGCCGATGAAATGACACATGAGGATAGTTTGCTGTTATTCCTCTGAACCACCGGCGTGCGTATGTGGGGGGGGGAGGAGAGAATGAAAGAGCAAGAGAATTGAATAGCACACGAGATAACAAAATGTATCACCCAGTAAAACCATTTCACAGTGCACGTATTTGTCTCTTTGCAAACAAGAAGCAACATTTTCAATTGTTTTATTTCACGAATATTGCCATTATAATTTGCGGTTCGACCTTGTGTTGCGCGCTTCAATTAGAATTTTGTATGCTGAAATGAATATTGCATTTCTGTTCCATGTTTAGCTCAATGAATTTTTGAGATGATTTATATGTCATCGGCTTTACCAAATGTTAATGGACGGAGAATTAATTTCGCTCCCTGATTAATTAACATTCATAAATTGCGCACATTTTTTTTTCGACTGCGTTTCGTCCTTCCCTCTTTCCTAAGCGTAAGATGTTATATGTATGCTACATTTGTGCCCCAATCGATCTTTTTCCAGTTTTAAAATGAGAAAATATAGCCCGATGTTTTGTTTATTTTTCCACTCTCTGAAGGTAATACAGATGCGCATATAAATTATACAGTGATGTATTACTTAATGATATATGTGACCTACTCTGTGAAAATGAGTCTTAAGTCGCCAGAGCCACTTTGGAGTAAGGGTCCTTTAGAATTATTTTGCAAAGTGTAAATCAATGGGAACCCACAGCATTTTTCACCATGGAGAATCCACTTTCTTCAGGATGCCAAACTGAGTGATACATCAAAACAAAAACTCAATTTGCTCTTTCTAATACAAATGAAAACTCAAAAGTGTCTCTGGCGACTTAAGACTCATTTTCAAAGAGTGGGTAACATATACTTGTGTTCCATTCCACAGAGTAATTTCGTATGATTATGGTCAGTGTTCATGTTAACCAACGGTAGTTTTTCTTTTTATGCAACAATAAGTATACAAAGCAGTGTTTTAATAACCTTCTTCCCAGGCAGTCTTTGGGATATTCTTTTCTCAACCCTTCGTGATTTGCACAAAATTGCACTTTTGCTTCTTTAACAGTGGGGTTTTGGTTTTGTCTTTTTTTTGCCCTTCGTGGCAATTCATTCATTTATTTTGTTCTATTTGTTGCTCTTGCTTTGTTTCGTTGCTGTCATGATGTTTCGTTTTACTTCGGATTGTGAACCCAAAGTTTAGCTTACCGAGACTCTCTGGCACAATGAATGAATATCTATAGTGAATCTATGAAGAGAGACCAACCGTTATCAACCAAAAAAGATAACTTGGGTTTCTGTGAGGTCACTTGCTTGTGGGTACGGGTAATACACATCAGAAATGACACTACACTTGTACATTTCACGTTCTGTTAACTGTGCTGTTTTACTATCTATTTCTTAGTCTTCTGCGGAAAACACCGGATCAGGTTAGTGAACATACAATATAATGCCTGAAATTAAAATAAACAGTGTATTTTGTCAAAACACACGCTGTTAAATGCAAAACTGCTCGAAACTGTGTCACGTTCTTATCTTTCAAGAATTCAGAGCGTTATAAAGTTAAGTTTTACTCTCTTCACGCAAGACTGAAAAACTCTCAAAAAAAGGAGCCCTTTAAGAAACTATTCTGGAAGGGTCCAATTTCTATCTCTTTCGTGGAGCCATCCCTTATAGGCCATATACCCTATTTATATGAGTGGTTCTCTTTAGAATGGTTTTTCGATCTTTTGGAGTAATTTTAGTGATAAGGGACTAGCTCATTTTAGAGAGTTGAGTTTTTCACTCTTTGACATTTACAGAGTACAAGTTTAAAAACGAATTTCAAAACAAATACATTAAAGAACGTTTAAAATGTTGGTACTAATACACTGGAGCTGCAGTTCATCTGAGTGAAATTGATAATAATCTCCTAGATGGCATTTGGTTACACGATTTAAAAAAAAGGAGCTACAGATATACCTTTAAAAGATACGAAACACCACTACTTTTGTGAAGGACTATTGTAGTTTAGCATCTAGTTCAGGATGGCTAAAGTCGTGTCCAAATGGACTGGCTGCGGCTAGGAATGTAACACGCGTCTATGGAAAACTACGGCAGCCGCTCGTCCGTGGTTCTCATAGGCGCGCGCGTTATGTATTTCCAGCTGCGGTCACAATGTTCCGATACCGTTGCTGCCTGACAAGGATCACACCTCTCCGTTCATGGTGATCCACCGTAATACTTTTGTTCTGTTGTAACTGCAGTTCACTGTGCGTGGGCTTTTGAGGTGATGAATTACACATCAAGTGCTCTGCCGCTCTGGTAAGTAATAATAGGCATTTGCTTTCATATTTACTACCATTCTTGTGACTACCGATGCCGTTTCATATCAGAATGCAAAATTATCTTTTTGCTGTCGGCCTAAAGCCAGCCCTCTTGATATAGGCACTATTTCTATGAATTAATAAGCTTTGTTTAAAAGCCAGCTCAAAGACCGAGAAGCCACGCTCCAGTGACGTAACTTGTAACTAACACTTGTCGTACATGCACTTCGTTTGAATTAAAAACAAATTGTATTTCTAATCGATTGGTAACCATTTTCAATCGTTATACTGCACTTTTTAATTGTTATTTACTGCACAGGTCATAAACTTTCGACTGACAACTAAGTTTAAAATAAACGTGCAAGTCTGTAAAAGATATCAACTATACAGAGGATTTTTTTAAGGATCCGCCTTCCCCTCAAAACACACAGGTTGGATTTGACCAAGATCACTGGTACTCCTCAGTCGTACCCGTGTGCAGGAGACGAAAGGCAGACCCCGCCAGCGCCCCCAACAATAGCAACTGTCCAGGTACGAAGTCCATAAAAGGGCAACCCATTTCTTAGCAGTCGTGTGCTAAAGTTAAATCATTGATTCTCTATCTATAGATCACATTAAAAAAAACCCACAAGTAACTGCTAATATGCGTTTGCTTTTATTTAACACAGAAAAAGAAAGATAAGGGTGAATACACTATTTTCTTCACGTTTATCCTCTCAATTTAGGCGACCACACAGAAAGCCTTATAAACCCCATTCCTTCGATTTTATGTCCGTTTTTCCCACTTAACTGGAGGAGATCCTGTCAAATCGCTCACGATTCGCACGTGTTTGGTTGTGTCTTTTTAATTCTACAACTGTGAATTATGTCCATTCCGTTGACGAAACTTTCCATACGCAATCAACGGTGATTTGCTCGCTCTGACCTTGGCACGCAGAGGACAAAAGGGTTCTTTTTATAAATGTGTGGTCACAGAGGGCCATATTGCTTGCAGGTAACGACAGCGTGTCTGATAATCACGTCATGCATTTGTGGAAAGCTGCAAGCCCGATCCGTCATTAATTATCGTGAGTAAACATCTGATTTTCCCAAATGAATATCTCGCGAAGAGGCAGACAACTGGAAAGGAAAGCATGTAACGCCGTCTTTAATGTAAGACAGGAAACTATTCATGGCGGAGAGTGTCGCGCCTCTCCACTTATCCCATCTTCACCGTCGTCAAACAAAGCTCTATGCAGAAAGTTACTGTGTGCAGTGCTCTTAACGGCTTTCCAGGATTTACTGCGAGCACATCATGTTTTGATGGGCATTTTGATCGGTATCCATGGTGATAATTCTACCATTGTGGAACGCGAAGTTCTCAGCCTCCTGCCCTGTCTCGGCATTATTAGTGGGTTTTCTCCGTCTGAAATGAATAAGCTGAATAAATATCCAGTGTCCGGATGTGATATTGTTCTGTTGGAATTCTCGGGGGGGGGGAACTACAAACGGACCTGTATTTTCTCTGGGAATGCAATGTAATGAATGTGTAATGAGTGGCAATGTAAATTTGCATCGGGTCCTCAAAACTATCAACCATAGTTCATACCGTCAAATACACAGCTCCAAAATGTTATCCTCTTTCGTTCTAAGTGCTAAAATTCAACTGCTATAAAGGTGCTACTTGGAATGCACTTGCGTATATAGCACGACCGAAATACTGTGACTGAATTAGATTTTACCACCGTCAGTTAACCCCCTAATTTCAATCACATACAGTTAGCAAAATACTTTATTAAATTTGGTAAGACCCTGTCAGAAGATTTAATCAAATGGACCCACTTGTCACAAATGCACTCTGTAGCTAGGCCGCAGGTAGGTGCAGGATTATAAATTGTCAGTAATTTGATATAGGTGTATGTCAAGATCTTACTTCAATTCCTGCTTTGCCAGTTCGTAGAAAACCCAATTTAGCATCTAGACCTCTACAGCCTTGATTTTTTTGTGGAAAAGGGAGTTATTTAGCCAGCACTTTTGCTTAATTTTGAGGAATTAGCAGATAAACTTCTTCAGTAAGTAACATGGCATTTCCCGTGACCAGCAGCCCTGTGACAAGAAATCAATGCTAGGGCTAAAACCGGCTACTTAAATTGTACCTTCGAAATGCATTCGGTGTCTAATGTTTCGCTTTTGCAAGAAACTGGTACAGTGGAAATTGCATCACATTACGTTAGTGAACCAAAGTGATTAATCTGTGTGGTACATTTGACAATTTCTACAGAAAAGCGGTTATTTTATTTCAACTACAGTCTATAAAACATACTAAAAGTGAAAAACAAAAGACATTAGGGAGAAACAAAATGGTTAGAAAGCTATCGGTACAGGTCTGCATGATGCAGTGGACTTACGTTTCAGTCTGCTCTTTTAAAACCTTGGTGCAATTTTTGCGGCTTATCGAGGACTTATTCCTGCCTTAACGATGCCTAGAACTTACGGCTGCCAACGACATTTCCGTCTGATTCCTGAAGCCAAGGAGTGTCTTAAGCGCCTTTCGAAACTGCCTGTACTTAATGGCGTAGATAAACGGGTTAATGCAGCCGTTGGATGCGGCCAGCCCGACCGAACAAATGTAGACAGGCGACGAGAGGTCAACTCCCGCCCCGAGGTTGAAGAGGAAAAAGATGATCTCATTGGGCGTCCAGCAGACAGTGAATGCCACGCAGACTGTGAGGAGGGTCTTAAAGGTGTTGCGGCGAGCTCGCATCAGTGACTCCCCCTGACCCTCGGGTGCCGTGCCGACGGACGGACCGGCACCCTGCTGCCGGTCACCGGCGCTCGCGGTCGCCACAGTGGGCTCAACTCTAGCAGCCTCTCTCTTCAGGACAACGGTGATGTGGACATAAACGACCATCATGACTGCGACAGGGATAGCATAAGTTATCGTTATTATGGCGACTCCGAGGACCTCTGGGTGTGCCACCAACGTCTGCTTGCATTGCCCGTCCTCGTAGTATTGAATGAAAAAGCCGAAACTGTTGAACAGGAACGCCGACACCCACACCCCAAGGATGACCATGATGGCGTTCCTGCGCGTTCCCAGCAGTTGGTACCTGAAGGGGAATACGATCGCCAGATATCTCTCCAAGGTCAGCGCCACCAGGTTGAACGTGGAGGTGAAGAACATCTGGAACACGAAGACGTTGGTGACCCACAGGACGCAGAGCAACGCACCGCCGTCTCCCTGCGGGAAGGGCTCTGGAGTGGGTACCACCAGCCGGCTAGACAAGAGCGTCACGGAGCCGAGTAGGTCGATCAAAGCCTGGTTGAAGATGAAACCGTTGGTCAGGGTGTGCATGAAGCGGACTCGGGCGATCACCACGCAGGCCAGGCCATTACCAAAGACGCCCAAGATGCCAACAACGGACAGAAAGATTCGCAGTGCCAAGTTCTGATCTTCCATTTCGCCAGGTACTGATACGAGACGGCGGGCATCGCAATTTATACGGTTCCCCGCTGGGATTTATGTCTCCAGTGGTTTGCTGTGCCCACAATGGAGAGTTATTCGTCATTATTTTGTTTAGCAATGAAAGCGGAAGCTTTTACGTGAATTTCTTTTAGACGATAGTCTTTTAATCTTCCATTGTGTCACTCGAGTCAGAGTGAGTACCCTTTTATGAACTGCGCAAACTTATCTCATTTTGATTTTGACATTTTCAGACACTAAGAGACTGGAAAAGTCAGGATGGAAAGTGCAAACGCAGACTTGAATAATATTGAAGCCGATATTCGAAAAGATTTTTTTGAAGAAAAAAAACCTGCCTTCAAAACCCTGCAGGACAGTTACGTAAAATGCCAGTGCTCCCAACAATTACTGCTTGCACTATGACGTGTTTGATCTACCTGACCAATTCGAATTCATTGTAACCAACGTCAATCTGTGTTGTTTTTGCGCCTTACGACCTTTTTTGCGCCTTTTTTGCGATCGCACATCAGGTATGGCAGAGAGCGCACTTCATGTATGGCAGGGGGCGTGCTTTGTGTGCGTGATGAAGCCCAACGTGGCGCTTTAGCAGGCCGATTGCGTCGATCGCAATCACGTCAGCGAACTGCACAGAATTGCAGGATTTTCAGGGTTCAAAAACATAATTTTAGGTGAGTAAAGCAAACATATTTCTGTCACCATTGGGCATATAAAGTGGTTTTTGTTGGGCTTAAAATGAAATAAGTTTGGGAGTTATTTCTTTGGTTAAAAGAGCTTAAAACCAGACTCATCTCTGTGACCCACTATTAATTTAATGCTTGGCTTATCTCAGTTCTATGTACCTATCTCATTGAAGATTAAAGTCCACACATTATTGTCAGGGACTCAGTACTGTAATTCACTACCTTTATGTTCACATTCCCTTGTCAATGCAACCTACAAGTCCAACTCTAACAAGGGAGGACTACTTGAGAGGGAGAGGCTTATTTACCACTCTTTTATCATCGGACTGTTGTATGTATGTTCAAACCCATATTCAGTGCTGGTATTGAGACAGACTAAAACTGCAATCAACGATGGAATCCTGACCTGTTGTTTATGATGATCGTATGAGTAGGATAGAGCCCAGGATAACAGTTCTACAAGGAACGTTTTCGGTTTGCTTTCGTCGAGCTGCATCTTGTGTTTGGACGGGTAGCCTGCAAATTGGCTGTTCAAAATTATGCGCTAAGAGCGGTCGGACTGCTCGGATTTTGAAGTCAAGCACTTTGGAACACTGGGGGTCGAGGTTGTTGAATAAAGGTGAATAAGTTGAATAAGGCTATGGTGCTGCAGTGAATGTGGAATTGAAACAGCTCAAATATCTGCGATTAAACTGCACTAGAATGAAAAAAGGCGGTAAGAAAAGAAAAGAAGACGAAGAAAGAGCCTGCCAAGATGCAATGCGACTTTAGTCAAACACTGACACCGGGAGTCCATAAGATGTCACACTGAATACGCCAGCGAAGATATACGTAATTAATTCAAACATTAAAACGACCCAGATCATGAAAACATAAATGTAAGTGTTTCAATATGCAGGTGCAGTGTACCCTAAGTATCACCTATATATCCGTGCGAACTCTCAGAACAGCGACCGAAGATCCATCACTAGTTGGATAATTTCTACCTAGGAGTTCTTTCAGAGCCTTGCGGAATTGCTTGTACTTGAAGGCATAGACGAATGGGTTGACACAGCAATTTGTGGCAACCATGGCAACAGACAGGATGTAGACAACAGAGGTGAAGTCTATGGGCGTGCCAAAGGTGAGGAGGATGGAGATGATCGAGTTCGGTGTCCAGCAAACGATGAACGCCAAGGAGACCAACAGGAGGGTCTTGAAGGTGTTACGGCGAGCTCGCATCAGCGACGCCCCCTGGCTCTCTGGAACTGAGACGGTAGAAGGACCTGCAGCTGTCGGTCCGGGTTGAATTCTGCCAGCTCCTCTCTTCAAAACAACGGTAATGTGGGCGTAGACGAAGAACATGACAATAACGGGTAGCAGGTATAACACGATGACCAATGCAACGACAAGGACTTGCTGATTTGGCAACAGTGTCATTTTGCATTGACCAGCTTCCACATACTGCATGGCGATGTTGTAACTAACGAATACAAACGCCGACAGCCAAACGGCGAGTAAGACTATCGTGGCGTTCTTGCGAGTGCCAAGCACTTGGTACCTAAAGGGGAACACTATGGCCAGATACCTCTCTAAAGTCAAGGCTTCCAAGTTGAAAGTGGACGAGACGAACAAGGCCCACTTGAAGTATCCCGACAGCCAAAGTCTACAGACCAGCACCCCAATGGTCCCTCTTGGTAGCGGGTCGGGGACCGGTACGAGGCTGTCCACAACAACCACAAACGACCCCAGAAGATCGATCAGGGCTTGGTTGAAGATGAAGGCGTTGGTCAGGGTGTGCATGAAGCGGACTCGAGCGATCACCAGACACGCCAAACCGTTGCCGCAGGTCCCAACGATTCCCACAATGCTCTGGTAGATCTGCAGTGCTAAGTTTTGATCGGCCATGTTCAAAGATTGCCGTGCAGCAAGCCCTTTGAGTGTATTATGAATTTCGTTTGCCGCATCCAAACCACTACAGCGCTCAGGATATCGGTATCGAGTTTCGCAGCCCTCGAACAAGTCATACATGCAAGTGCAGTTGGCTTGGCTATTAAATATCAACGAAAGCGTTCCGGATATTGTGTTTCGGATTGCTTCTTATTGCCTATTTGACGACGATATAATTTTACCTCCCCATTTAAGTGCCAGGCAATTCTTTTCAAAGATTGACCTAGTAGGCTACCCACTTACTCGCTAATGGACCTGGCTTTCAGGATTATACAGAGTTGTTCCCAAATTGCGGTTGAATCGTCTTACAAACCCTGAGAGACCGGAATCAGCCTGAAGTCTCCCTCTGTCAATATTGTTACCGCTAAATTTGACTTTGGGGGCATTTTATTGCTTTCAGATGGCAAATAAGTCACCGCAGCGGGAAAAAATAGTGGCATTCGTATATGGAATTCTTATCCTATGTAGGAAAGTTAGATCTAAGTGCCCGAGTTCCTTGCGTAATAGTATCCTCGTTTCAAAACTGTTTTCAGTAAGAACAAACTACGATAAAACTGCAAGTTTTCCATAACGTTCAGACGTCACGAATATCTACTGTAGAAGCAGCCAATGGGCACGTTCATATAGGATGATAAACGAACATGGCTGGGAAAAGGCAAAAATACCAACTATGCTTAATGAACACCACCACATCCATCACGTTGTTTTATCGTTTGAGGTTTTTTCTAAAACGTAATCGCGTGTTTTGTTTGTTTTTCTCTGAATTTTTTAATACTCTGCTAATTTGTTTCAATCCGTTAGTTCACATCGAGTTGAAGACAAATTGATGGTAGAAATAATAAATCAATAAATGATTATGATAAGAAAAATGGAATTGGAATAAAGTACACTATGGTACTTGTTCTTTGTCCAAAGATGCATGCAACTTTGTTTTCGTTGAGGCTATTTTATTAATCGAAAGCCTTACTCTTGATTGTTATTGGTAGCGGTCAGTGAAGACCCGACATCAGTTCCACTTTTTGCACAGGTAAGTGCTTTAAGAGCCTTTCTGAACTGCTTGTACTTGATGGCGTAGATGAAAGGGTTGACGCAGCCGTTGGATGCAACCATAGCAACTGACACGATGTAGACGACTGAAGTGAAGTCCACGTCTACGCCGAGGTTGAAGAGAAAGAAGATGACCTCGTTGGGCGTCCAGCAGACGGTGAATGCCACGGAAACCAGCAAGAGGGTCTTGAAGGTGTTGCGCCGAGCTCGCATCAGCGACTCTCCCCGGCCCTCGGGGGCCGTGGTGCCAGACGGGCCGGCACCCTGCTGCTGGTCACCGGCGCCAGCATTCGCGGTCGCCACAGTGGGCTCAACTCCCGTGCCGGGAGGCGGACCCGGAGTCAAGCCCGCCAGTTTGGGCTGAACTCTCCCAGCACCCTTCTTCAGAACCACTGCGATGTGAGTGTAGACGAACACCATGACGACGACAGGGAGCAAATATGTGACGGAAAACACAGCGACACCAAGAGCAAGTGGATTTGCCACGAGTCTCTGCCTACACTGACCGGCTTCGTAGTAGCGAATAAATAAACTGTAACTATTGAATACAAATGCCGATAGCCATAGCCCGATTATAACGGCTACGGATTTCTCACGTGTGGCCAGCACTTGGTACCTGAAAGGGAACACTATAGCTAGGTATCGCTCCAAAGTCAACGCCGTTAGATTGAAGGTAGACGCGATGAAAAGTCCCCATACGAAGAAGTTGGACACCCACAACTTGCAGAGAAGCACGCCGCTGGTTCCCGGTGGTATCGGATCGGGGACAGGCACAAGACTGTTGACCAAAATCAGTAACGACCCCAGCAGATCAATCAGGGCTTGGTTGAAGATGAAGGCGTTGGTCAGGGTGTGCATGAAGCGGACTCGGGCGATCACCAAACACACCAAACCGTTGCCGCAGATCCCAACAATTCCCACAACGCTCTGGTAGATCTGCAGCGCCAGATTCTGCTCGGCCATGTCTGTTAGTGTATCAAAAACAACAGCAACAGCTACGACGTTGGTTTTGCGAACAGCACGAACACGATATTTAACTCCAGCAGCTCAGTTGTACATGCAGCAGCGGTTGTCACCATTTATACCATCGGCAGCACAAAAGGTGCTTGACGTACTATGGCCGAGTTAAAAAAAAACGAAATAAACAAGGTTGATATGCGCAATGTCATTACTCCCAACTACAGATCATCACTGGTTACGCACTCACTGTCACTGTGCATTCAGTTTATAGCTGAGACTGTCACTTTATCCAATTCCTCACTAGCCTCAGGAAGTCACGCACGAAATTCACAGGATGTCACGCACGACATTCCCAGGGAAATTGAAGCAAGTATTTCTGATAAAAGTGGAACCGGGTAGTTGCTGTACAGATGTTACGTTCAATAACACGAATCTGAAAATGTAATCGTTCCTCTTTGCTGTAAGGCTGTGTGAGGAGACAAATACAGAATCAAAGAACCCTTTGCCATTTTCGTTGAATTTTATTCGAGTGTCACCGATAATTTAATTCAAAAGACGCGTTTGATATAAAAGAAAAGCTACCACGCGGCTACTTTTGGGTAGATCTAATAATACGAATCCATTGTCATTCCTTTGCTGCAAGGTTGTCCTTATGAAGTGAAGAAGAAAAGGTGACCTCTCTTCCAGTTTTCACTTAATTTTGTTTTCCCAGTTTCACTGGTGACTGCGTTCAACGGACACAATTTTTATAATCTTGCGAAGGAAATTGCTGCATGAAAGTTATATCAAATTTTAGGTATTCCAAATGTCCTTGGTTCTCCTCTCCCCTGAGGGAGTGAAGAATAAATTAACTGTTTGTCATTTTTTAACTTAATATTCCAGTGTCACTTATGATTGGTCGTGAAGGACACAGTTGACGGGCAGATTCCTAAGGTTACAAAACAAAGAAGAAGCAAAACCTTGCACTCCCAATAAATATTTGTTACGATTGTCAACTACCCAATACCAAATCAGTTTATGTTCTTCAATCCTTCGAAAAAATAGACTGAAAAAGATATTCTCTGGTCTTTATTTCTGTCATTATTTTATGCCGCTGTAGAATTCACACTCAGTTTATAATTCATACATGTACAGTCTAAGTGACGAAGCAACTGTCATCATGCACGTTAAACTGTTGCTGCAGAGTGTAACGATTCCCTACAGTGGTATGGTAGATCTGCAGTGCCAAGTTTTGGGCTGCCACGCTTCTTGGGTGTCGTCAAACTAACTGAAAAAAAAATGGGCGCACCAATATCGGTTGTCCACAGAATCCGAGTAAAAAGAAGGAAAATGGTTACCGTTTTTAATTTTGTAGCCAATGCTGTATATAAGTAAACTTTCTTGTATCCTCGTTGAAATGAAAAAAGATGTCTTTCTTCATAGGGAGGTAACCATTGTCAGCCCTTAATTTTATTCAAGCCAACAATACAAATTTAAGAGAACCGGAACCTCTTTGCCTCAGTTGTCGTGCTTTCATCAAATTTGTCCTCTGTTGTGTTTTTAAAAGGGTACTTCTGCTCTATAAAAAATTGAAAGCAGAATAGCCCATATATTATTTTACATGTAAACGGTTTCAGGCTGATGTCATTTGTTTTGGTCCCAAGGTTAACATACTAATTGTAAAATAACACTTCTTTAATTTTTCCCAGCTTCGATTTAAGCAACATCTGTTTGTTCACCGGGTTGACATTTATGAGACGTTGGGAGCCGGTTCCGTGGTCAGAATTTCCGCCATCGGAAACATAACCTATGACCTCTGGCAGACATCAAGACCTCAGGCCATAAAGCACAGCAGGATTTTTTCCCCTACTCTTGAGGTAGAAAGCCTGTTTTGACAAAAGTTTAAAGAAAGTTTTCAATTCATCGTTTACTATTCATTTGAACTATTATGGGTTCAAACTAGAGTAATTATCTTTTGAATTTACTTCTTTTGGAATACTGAATTTTTTGGGGGAAAATACACCTGCTGCCTTTGAAGTACTTAATTGATTTACAGGTGGTTCGTGAGTATCTCACAGTCGAAACTGCTCATTTGTCATAAACCTGGCCAATCTGTTTATGCGTTATGTGTTACCAGTGTTCTTCGCTATCAGTGAACTGGAGGTCTGAATGTAATTTCATTTTTTTTCATAAAATTTTGGTTTGTTGCGATTAAGAGATACTTCCTCAAAAGGATGGAGAGTTCTTGATACAACACGGAATTTGAAGAGGTGCTGTAAAAATGGTGTAAAAGTGGTAATTTGTCCCATTTTACAGTTTCTGCCCGTTGCTGTGGACGCAATAATGCTAGAGATAAACAGCACACTGGCCGGCCGCGTGGAAATAGACGGCGTTCAAATACACGGCAGAAACGGTGAGTTGGGGGAACGCTATTTAGCCCGTGCGCGGGCACTATTTTGACGTGGACGTCCAGCTTTTTCTGTACTGTTAACTGAAGGTTTACAGGCTCACAGGCTAATTCTATTCAAACTGCTGAATGGGTGGACAAGTGAAAAGTACAAACTTATTTTTCAAAAATAATTAAAATACACAATCCAAATAGGTTAAGAAGGGGAGGACAGATAAAATATCTTTAAAATGCCGCGATGGTTTCTCTCAGTCTGTCGAGGTGGGCATTAAGAGAAACATTTTGACAGGAGCTTATCCGGCCCTCCTTTCCTTTCAATCTTCCGAAGTGGCCTATATGTTTTAATTTCCACTAGCTTCCCCCATGGATGTTCGAGTGACGGGCGGACCCAACCCCTACACTGGAATTCTTGAAGTGTACAATTCAACTTGGGGTCACGTGTGTGATGACAATTGGCAAAACGCTGACGCTAAGGTGGCCTGTCGCCAGCTGGGCTACGTGGGCGCCCAGACCGCACTGACCGAGATAAGTGTGGTGGACGGGGACGAGCAATTCCTGCTGGACGATGTGGGCTGCATCGGCGACGAGGAGCGGTTACTAGAGTGCGCGCACGACGGGCTGGGGGAGCACAACTGCTACTACTATGAGGTGGCTGGGGTCGTCTGCATAATCCCAGGTCAGATCGCGGGCCAGACATAATTTCAGTTAAGTCTGAGTCTGACTTCGTGAAAATGACCAACAATGATCACAGCATCATTTCTTGAAGCACTGGCAAATTTCAGGCACGTGCATTCAATGTAGACTCCCACTGACTTGGACACTAATTATAAATAATTATCCAGGCAAGGTAAGGGAAACACACTTAATGCAGACGCTCATTAACGTCATTATGTCTATTACATGATAAAGACAAGGCCTTACCTTGTTACAAGTGACTGCTTTCATGATATTACCAAACAGTCCACACTTCACAATTGGCGTACGTTCTTTTGTTCGTTTTTGAATATTTCGCTTACCTTATGTGTTTCGTTGATTTTGGACATTCTTACCTTCTTCTTGTGGGTAGGTCCTTTGGTCTGAGTCTCGGACTTTTTGTCTGTCGTCCACTCTGTCCATCGTAGGCACCAACAGAAAATTTAGCTGCTGCCACCAAGAGTTACAAGAGGCCCAATTTATTTAGACTGGCTTCTGTGTCACGAACTTTATTTCAGATGACGGCACCCAACCGTGTGGAGTCGCCGCAGCGAACACAAGCGTCTGCTCGTGCAATGTACCATTCATCGGCAACAGTAGTTGTGAGGGGGTCGACCCCTACTCCTCGTGGTCAAGCAGTTGGAGCAGCGACTGGCATAACAGCAGCGATTTTCACAGCTACAGTAGTAGTGGCGAGAAGAAGCCGAGCAGCAGCAGTGGAGGGCAGGCCAGCAGCGACATCGACAGCAGTAGCGACGATCGAGCCAGGCAAGGCTGCGACACATTCCTGGATGAGGACTGCCTGCCCGAGGAAAGTACCTTCTATGAAAACCTCATACCACAACCCTGTGGCGACTGGTGGTGCAACATTCGTTATGAAGGTACGATATCGCCCCCTTCTTTTCAACCGAATCGCAAGCCAGCTAATGTAAGCCTATTTTGTGAGCAAATTTGTGACACAAATCATGTGTTGAGGGAAACTTCTCTTGCAATTTATTATTTCTTTTGAATGTTCAGACCCGAATCGGAGGTCTTTCAATATTGTGATGGCCGAAGTGCCATAACCTGCCCTGGAACTTGTCGACACGGGCGTTTTTAAAGTCTCTGTCGATCAACATAAGCTGTTTATTCGCAGAAAAGCAATAGACCTTATTCAGGAGTCAGCCATACTGAACTTGAAAATGAAGTGAGTTGAGAGCATCAGGTAAAGAATGAGATGTAACTTCCTGTCAACTTAGTGCCAGGGTACTCTGAGGAAAAAAAAAGAAATTAGTGTTTTGTGCCAGAGTTTGAAGAACTTGAAAGGGAGGCTTTGAACCCACCACACTAATCTCAAAATGCCAGCTCTTTCAAAGTTTTATTCAGGAACAGACTTAAGAATTGTTTTTTCGTGCATAAAGTCTATTGCAATTGGGGTTCAAGGAAGCATTTCAGGACGTGCGAATGTTTTGTGTCTGTGTCAAACTTTCTCTTGTTGCTTGAACGCAGAGTCGTCGCTCTCAATCAGTAACAGCTCCCTGCGCGCGTCAAATAGCTCCACCCTCCACGTCCAGCATTTCGAGCCGAATGAGGCGCCCTCTTCTGAGCCCACCTATCCTAACTTCTTCGTGGTCCGCTGGTGCGCCCTCATCGAGGATCGGAACCAATGGCTGGAGGTGGATTTTGTCCAGCCAGTGGCGGTGACTCGGTTGTTTTTCGCGGACTTCGCCGATTCCCCAGGATGTATCACGTCCTTCAGATTCTCCTACACCAATGGCGACTTTTGGCAGTTTTATCCCGAGACTGGTAGTGATTCGAAAGTGAGCAATATTTGTATTTCACCTCGCAATAATCCCTTTCATCGAAACTTCATTGTTAAAATCGGAAATACAGACGTTTTAAGTGACTGGAAGCTTATAGCCTATATATTCTGAATGACCATTAG